GCTAACACATGAAGGATCTACTTGAAATTATCTACCCGAGTAATATGTGATTTGATTGATACAAAAGTATAACTTGCGTGTTGAAGAGCCGGTGATTTCTGGCAGCTCCTACAGTGACGAACGGTCGAGCCTCAACCCTTGTTCATCATTCGCTGTATCTAGCTTTTCTAGTTTTTTTTCCGTCTCCACCACAATAAATGCTATATTATCACTATAGTTGACTGGTGGAAATTTTGGAGGAAGGACGCTTTTTCTGTAGTAATAATTGCTTCTCGTTGTGTATATTGCGACCGCTGGTAACTACAGGTTATATGAAATTCACAGTATGTCTGGTATTTCAAGAAAAAAGAAACTAATGAAAGTCACTCCACTCCACTAAGTACCATTATAATACTGGTTAGTTGCTACTACAACACTGTATTCTGCTATTCACTGGTATCACTAGATTATATGCGAGTACACTAGCAGGCCAGGAAGATTATTAAAACAGCTGACCTCTGTGGTAAGTTTCTGGCGACTTCTGGCACCTGCCTCTATAGGCTTATCACTTCATTTACAAATTCACCTGTTTTCAAATGACACTTTAGCCTTTATCATCTATATACTAGGGAGCCACTGTAGTATACACTATACACTATGTATACACAATGTTATCAGGGAGACTTTCTTTCCTCTGACAAAGAAAAGTTCTATTATTATTGTTTTGCACACGGAACACAGGCCTATGATTCCCCTCTGGCAGTAAACTCTGCTAGGTAGTGCACACTAATTCTCCTTTTTTGACTCAGTATATAATGTTTTCCGCCCAAGATTGGTTCCAGGCGCTAGAGGGATGTATCGTATAGGATTGATGGCACAAATTAAAGTTCTAGCACGTAAGAGCGACCGTGTAAACACTAGAAAACCCGGAGCACAACGAGGCACGCGGCACTGTTACCCTGTTACCCTGTTACCGTGTTACCGTGTTAGTTTTCAACTGTGCAATCAATTGAACTACCATACATCAAAACAGAGTTACCTGGGTTTCTGTATCGGACCCTTAAGAATAACCCGAATATCGGTGTCTTGATTGAAGAATAGTGTCTTTGACACTATTCTTCAATCACTATTCAGTCTGGAAATTCGCAACACTCGCTGGTTACACTGTTCATCAAGATTTGTCTATTGTTCACAGTCATGTCACTAAAGAAGCTGATCACACTTCTCTGTAATTGTTCTGCTGTGTCCGTTGAGACACTTTTATTAACAAAACGCACGATCACTAGTGTCTTCTGTTATTACAGCGTGACGCACAAGTTGTCTCTGAGTCTAAAAGGAATCCGCCCCGAAGCCCTTCATCGCCTTGGCGTGCCCTCGGCGTCTCCCTACACACAAAAGAAGTGTAGATTAAGCATATTTCCCTTGCTTGCCAAATTTCCACCATGAATCAGTGCACAATGCTTGATTCTTGCTTTCTGGGCATACACGTAAAGTGGGTGCAGGATTTTCCTTAATTATCCTGCTAAGGTAAGAGATCAGTTTTCTCTTATTAAACTACACATGATTGCAACACTGGTCAACCATGACGGAACTTACTGGCGAACCCGGGTACGAACACGTGTTCCTAATTAAAGTGTTGACCAAGAAGTTAGACGCTATCAGCCACTCTGGAGAGCTAAGTCCCTCAGAGGTCTTAAAGGGGCTGAAAGAGGCTGAAAAGGGCTGATACCCGTCTCGTGGAGAAATTTTCTCCACAACTGTTTTCGCTATATGAATGACATGACGGAAGGGATAGACTCAGAAATATCTGATTTTGCAAATGATGCGAAGTTAATGAGGAGAATTAAATCGGATGAGAATCGGGCAGGGCTACAAAGGGACCTGGACAGCCTGCAAGCCTAGTCCAGAAACTGGCTCCTGGAATTTAACCCTACGAAATGCAAAGTCATGAAGATCGGGGAAAGGCAAAGAAGACCACAGACAGAATATAGGCTCGGTGGCCAACGACTGCAAATCTCATTCTGAGAAAAGGATCTTGGGATAAGTGTAATACCAAGCACATCTGAGGCTCCTATCAACCAGATAACTGCTGCAACATATGGGCGCCTGGTAAACATAAGAATAGCATCCCGACACCTCAGTAAGGAATCATTCAAGAGTCTGTACATTGTGTACGTCAGGCCCATATTAGAGTATGCAGCACCGGTATCGAACCCACACTTGGTCAAGCACGTCAAGAAATTAGAGAAAGTGTAGAGGTTTGTAACAAGACTAGTCCCGGAGCTAAGGGGATTGTCGTACGAAGAAAGGTTAAGGAAAATCTGCCTGACGACTCTGGAGAACAGGAGGGTTAGGGAAGCCATGATAACGACATATAAAATACTGCGAGGAATTGACAAGGTGGACAGAGAGGATATTCCCGAGATGGGACACAGCAACAAGGGCTCACAATTGGAAGTTGAAGACTCAGATGAGTCAAAGGGATGTTAGGAAGTATTTCTTCAGTCATAGAGTTGTCAGGAGATGGAATAGTCTGGAAAGTGATGAAGTGGCGGCAGGACAGTACGAAGTTTTAAAACGAGGCATGATAAAGCTAATGGAGCAGAGAGAGAGGACTTAGTAGCAATCAGTGAAGAGGCGGGCTCAGGAGCTATGAATCGACCCCTACAGCCACAAATAGGCGAGTACAAACAGGTTGTGAGTACACACAAGTGGTGAGTACACACACACACACAGATACACACACAGGGAAGGCACTACAATGGATCAGGCAATACCTATCAGAAAGACAACAGTTAGTCATGGTACGTGGTGAGGTGTAAGAGTAGGCGCCTGTGACGATCGGGGCCCCACAGGGGTCAGTCCTAGGACCGGTGCTGTTTCTGGAATTTGTAAACGGCATGACGGGAGGAATAGACTCCGAAATGTCCCTGTTTGCAGATGATGTGAAGTTCATGAGAAGAATTAAATCGAACGAGAACCAGGTAGAACTACAAAGAGATCTGGACAGGATGCAGACCTGGTCCAGCAACTGGCTCCTGGAGTTCAACCCCACCAAGTGCAAAATCATGAAGATTGGGGAAAGGCAAAGAGTACAGAAGACGGAGTACAGTCTAGGGGACCACAGACTACAAACCTCACTCAAGGAAAAGAATCTTCTGGTAATTATAGCAACGGGCACGTCTCTTGAGGCGCACATCAACCAAATAACTGCTGCAGCATACGAGCACCTAGCAAACCTAAGAACAGCATTCTAACATCTCAATAAGGAATCGTTCAGGACCCTGTACACCGTGTACGTTAGGCCTATATTGGAGTATGCAGCACCAGTTTGGAACCCACACCTAGCAAAGCACGTAAGAAATTACAGAAAGTGCAAATGTTCGTAACAAGACTAGCCCCGGAGCTAAGGGTTGTGTCCTACGAGGAGAGGTTAAGGGAAATCGACCTGACGACACTGGAGGAGAGGAGAAATAGGGAGGATATGATAACGGCATACAAAATACTGAGAGGAATCGACATGGTGGACAGACAGGATGTTCCAGAGATGGGACACAGCAACAAAGGAACACAGTTGGAAGTTGAAGACTCGGATGAATCACAGGGATGTTTGAAAGTATTTCTTCAGTCACAGAGTTGTTAGGAAGTGGAACAGTCTAGCAAGTGATGTAGTGGAGGCAGAAACCATACATAGCTTTAAGAAGAGGTCTGATAAAACTCATGGAGTACGAGGAATGACCTAGTAGCGACCAGTGAAGAGGCGGGGCCAGGAGCTGTGATTCGACTCCTAGAAGAGTACACACACACACACACACACACACACACACACACACACACACACACACACACACACACACACACACGCACGCGCGCGCGCGCGCGCATATATTATATATATATATATATATATATATATTATATATATATATATATATATATATATATATATATATATATGAGGCAGAGGTAGAGGCTGAGATTACGCAGTTCAGCTTCCTTGTCAAACATAGGTATAATATATATATATATTATATATATATATATATATATATATATATATATATATATATAATATATATATATATATATAATATATAATATATATATATATATTAATAATATATATATTTATATATAATATACTATATATATTATATATTATATATATATATATATATAATATATTATATAAATAAAGTTATTATATATATATATATAGTTGTATCCTACAGAGTTAATAATATAGACGGAGGAGGATAATAGGTGTCTTTGTTTCTCATACAAATAGCAGATTACAGGTATGACGTTGGCTACTATGTCTTACAGTAGGTGACACACACATAATGTACACGTTTGGAATTGAACACTCTGAGTTTTATAGGGATTTTAAATATTTCTTCGTCACAGAGTTGTGCAGTTTTATACATGGGCAAGTGGAGATAGGAATCTACCTCCGTAGCTGTGTTTAAGAACAAATGTCGGGAAACATGGCTAGTAAGCAATGACCTAGTTCCTGAAAGACGTGTACAGAAAGATGAGAAGAAAATTTTTCCCTCATTTCGGATACACACACATGCCACGTCGCAACGGCACCCGATTGTTGAATATATATATATATATATATATATATATATATATATATATATATATTATATATATATATATATATATATTATCCTATGTTTGAAAAGGAAGCTGAACTGCGTAATCTCAGCCTCTACCTCTGCCTCATGAGGTTCTGTAATACAATTTGTAAACCTCTTGCGTACATTAAAGCACATGGGGCCGGGGTTATGGAATACAGTAAGTACTTTTCTCAGATTTCGCAGCGACCGAAACAACTTGTTTCTTAGGATTGTCTTTGTTAAGTTGTTTATATTGGACGATTAATGCTATGAAATATTTTTTAGAGATTGATATTTGAAAGTTAGCAGATTTTAGAAAAGTAATATTTTGTGTTGACTGACGTTCGGGCTTAGCGCTCTTTCATCAGCTAATGAATTATGGTATTATCATAACAGGGAGTGAGACGCTAAGTACTGGTAGCGTTGAGTCAGTAAACCAGACGATGGTGGAAGAGCAAGTGAGCGAGAACCACAAAACGCTAAAGAAAAATTTGTTGAATATTCTCAAGAGCCTCTTCAGTGGAAGAACAGGTCAGTAAATATATCAACCATTCTGTTTACCTCTCTCCACTTCTCGACCTGTCTGCTCCTCTCAGTCACTGTTATTCTACCTAACTCAACCTCTCTCTCAACCACCTCTCTAATTGTCTCCACCTCTCTCTGCTCGTACTTCTCTGCCTGTCTTCAGCATTTCTTCACTCACCTCTCAACTTGTTTCTGCCTCTCTACCTATTTCCATTTCTTCCCCTCGGGCTTCTCTACTTATCTCCTCCTCCTCCTCTCCCTTTGCTTTTCTGAAATTCTCCCTCACACACCTCTCAACCTGTCTTCACCTCACATTCACCCATCTCTCTACCTAGTTCCACACCTCTCCTTCGCTCATCTCTCTACCCAATATCATTTCTTTCCCACAAAAACCCATGCCACTAATTATTTTTAGTTTAAGAATGCACTATCAACATAGTTGGTGGTGTTTACGGTGTTCTATGCACACTATGTTCTCCTTTCTACGATGAACAAACAGGAGTCAAATGTAGTCTTTAACCATGTTAGTATTTGTAATCACCACCGGGTTGGGCAGCAGCTCAGGTCATTGTATTTAACAGTTCGGTCATTGAGTGAAATATAATTGAATTCTCTCTTAAAACATGACAGGAATGACATGTATATTTCAAGTCATAGATTGTACAGACTCGACTGCTATTTAGTAGTCAGTTGTGCACAATTTTAAGTAAGGGTGCTACACAAAATTACCGGATTGTTCATTATGCAGCGGATCTTCTTGATGGTTAAGTGGCATTAGACCTTAGTTCTACCTTTCTGTTATGGACGGTTAGTCTGTCAGATTTCCTGCCCATCTGTATCTCTATGAGGTGGTAACCAGTACACCTGATTTATATATTAATATCATGAACAAGAGGTCACTATTGGAAGTTGAAAACTCAGATGAGTCAAAGGAATGTTTGGAAGTATTTCTTCAGTCATAGAGTTGTCAGGAGGTGGTATAGTCTGGGAAGTGATGTAGTGGAGGCAGAAACCATATATAGTTTTAAGACGAGGTATGATAACGCTCATGAAGCAAGGAGAGAGAGAGAGGACATAGTAGCGATCAGTGATGAGGCGGGCTCAAGAGCTATGTCTCTACCCCTTGCAACCACTAATAGGTACGTACACACACACACACACACACACACACATACACACACACACACACACACACACACACACACACACACACACACACACACACACACACACACACACGCACGCACACACACACAAATGTAGTCCCCATCTTCAAGAAAGGACACAGAAATGAATCACTGACGTGTATAGTATTCAAAGTCATGGAGAAGATTATCAGGAGGAGAGTGGTGGGGCACCTGGAGCGGAACAAGAAGATGAACGACAGCCAGCACGGATTCATGGGAGGCAAATCCTGTGCCACAAACCTACTAGAGTTTTATGACAAGGTAACTGAAGAAAGAAATGAGAGGAAGGGGTGGGTTGATTGCATATTCTTGGACACAGTTCCTCACAATAGATTAGTACAGAAGCTAGAGATCAGGCAAATATAACAGGAAGGGCACTGCAGTGGATCAGAGAATACCTAACAGGGAGGCAACAGCGAGTCAAGGTCCGTGATGAAGTATCATAGTGGGCACCTGTGACGAACGGGTCCCACAGGGGTCAGTCCAGAGACCAGTGCAGTCCTGAGACCAGTGCTGTTCTTGGTATATGTGAACGACATGACGGAATGGATAGACTCAGAAGTGTCCCTGTTTGCAGATGATGTGAAGTTAATGAGGAGAATTAAATCAGACGCGGACCAGACAGGTCTACAAAGAGACCTGGACAGGCTGGATGCGTGGTCCAGCAACTGGCTCCTAGAATTTAACCCCACCAAATGCAAAGTCATGAAGATCGGAGAAAGGCAAAGAAGACCTCAGACAGAGTATAGGCTAGGAGGCCAAAGACTGCAAACCTCACTCAAGGAGAAAGATCTAGGAGTGAGTATAATACCGAGTACGTCGCCAGAAGCACATATTAGCCAGATAACTGCTGCGACATATGGGCGCCTGGCAAACCTGACAATAGCGTTTTGGTACCTTAGTAAGGAATCGTTCAAGACTTTATACACTGTGTACGTCAGGCCTATACTGGAGTACGCAGCACCAGTTTGGAACCCACACCTGGTCAAACACGTCAAGAAATTAGAGAAAGGGCAAAGGGTCGCAACAAGGCTGGTTCCAGAGCTAAGGGGAATGTCCTACGAAGAAAGGTTAAGGGAAATCGGTCCGAAGACACTGGAGGACAGGAGGGTCATGGGAGACATGATAACGACATACAAAATACTGCGTGGAATAGACAAGGTGGACAGACAGGATGTTCCAGATATGGAACACAGAAACAAGGGGTCACAATTGGAAGCTAAAGACTCGGATGAATCAGAGGGATGTTAGGAAGTATTTCTTCAGCCACAGAGTTGTTAGGAAGTAGAATAGTCTGGCAAACGATGTAGTGGAGGCAGGAACCATACGTAGTTTTAAGACGAGGTATGATAAAGCTCATGGAGCAGGAAGAGGGAGGACCTAGTAGCGGTCAGTGAAGAGGCGGGGCCAGGAGCTGAGTCTCGACCTCTGCAACCACAATTAGGTGAGTACTCACATGCACACACACACACACACACACACACACACACACACACACACACACACACACACACACACACACAAACACTCTAAATCAAAACACCCATGCCACATCCAATGCCCCCACCCACTACATTACAAACTCCACCCCCACAGCAACAACCCATAGTTCCTTGCCAGGTCTCCCGCTTCCCCAACCCCAATATACCTCCCAGACCACAGTCTTAGAATAGAAGTTGAAGGTGTGGTATACAAATGCAGATGGAATAACAAACAAGTATGAGGAGTGGCACGAAAGAATCAAAGAGACATCCCCAGGCATAATAGCACTCACAGAAACAAAACTCACCAGAATAATAACAGATTCAATCTTTCCATTCGGATACCAAATCCTCAGGAAAGACAGAGGGAGGAGAGGGGGAGGAGGAGTCGCACTGCTCATTAAAAACCAGTGGGGTTTTGAGAAAATGGAAGGAATGGATGGCACGGGCGAAAGGGACTACTTAGTAGGAACAATCCAGTCTGAGGGACATAAGGTGATAATTGCAGTAATGTACAACCCACCACAGAACTGCAGGAGGCCAAGAGAAGAATATGATGAGAGCAACAGAGCAATGATCGACACACTAGCCGAGGTGGCCAGGAGAGCACACATGGGGGGGAGCAAAGTTACTAGTTATGGGTGATTTCAATCACAAGGAGATTGACTGGGAAAACCTGGAACCCCATGGGGGTCCCGAAACATGGAGAGCCAAGATGATAGATGTGGTACTGGAAAACCTCATGCATCAACATGTTAGAGACACTACCAGAGAGAGAGGAGAGGATGAACCAGCAAGGCTGGACCTTGTATTCACCATGAGTAGTTCGGACATCGAGGGTATCATGTATGAAAGGCCCCTGGGAGCTAGTGATCATGTGGTTCTGTGCTTCGACTACATAGTTGAGCTCTAAGTGGAGAGAGTAGCAGGAATAGGCTGGGAAAAACCAAACTTCAAAAGGGGGAACTACTCAGGCATGAGGAACTTCCTTCAAGACATTCATTGGGAGAGGGAACTGACAGGAAAACCAGTACAAGAAATGATGGACTATGTAGCAACAAAATGCAAGGAGGCAGAGGAGAGGTTTGTTCCAAGGAAAACAGAAATAATGGGAAGAACAGAACGAGTCCTTGGTTCACCCAAAGGTGTAGGGAGGCAAAAACTAGGTGTACTAGAGAATGGAAAAGGTACAGAAGACAGAGAACTCAGGAAAATAAAGAAATCAGCCGAAGAGCCAGAAACGAATATGCACAGATAAGAAGGGAGGCTCAGAGACAATATGAAAATGACATAGCATCAAAAGTAAAGACTGACCCGAAGCTGTTGTACAGCCACATCAGGAGGAAAACAACAGTCAAGGACCAGGTAATCAGACTGAGGAAGGGTGATGAGGAATTCACAAGAAACGACCAAGAGGTATGTCAGGAGCTCAACACAAGATTAAAGAGGTATTTACAGTGGAAACCAGTAGGACTCCAGGAAATCAGAACAGGGGGGCACACCAGCAAGTGCTGGATGAGGTACATAGAACCAAGGAGGAGGTGAAGAAGTTGCTATGCGAACTTGACACCTCAAAGGCGGTGGGACCAGACAACATCTCTCCATGGGTCCTTAAAGAGGGAGCAGAGATATTGTGTGAGCCATTAACAAAGATCTTCAACACATCATTTGAAACTGGGCAACTCCCTGAGGTATGGAAAATGGCAAATGTAGTCCCAATTTTTAAAAAGGGAGACAGACATGAGGCACTAAAAATACAGACCTGTATCACTAACGTGTATAGTATGCAAGGTCATGGAGAAGATCATCAGGAGGAGAGTGGTGGGGCACCTGGAAAGAAACAAGTGTATAATTGACAACCAGCATGGTTTCAGGGAAGGAGAATCCTGTGTCACAAACCTACTAGAGTTTTATGACAAGGTGACAGAAGTAAGACAAGAGAGAGAGGGGTGGATCGACTGCATATTTTTGGACTGCAAGAAGGCCTTCGACACAGTTCCTCACAAGAGGTTACTGCAAAAGCTAGAGGATCAGGCACACATAACAGGAAAGGCACTGCAATGGATCAGAGAATATCTAACAGGGAGGCAACAACGAGTCATGGTACGCGACGAGGTGTCAGAGTGGGCGCCTGTGACAAGCGGGGTTCCACAGGGGTCAGTCCTAGGACCTGTGCTGTTCTTGGTATATGTGAACGACATAACGGAAGGGATAGACCCAGAAGTGTCCTTGTTTGCAGATGATGCGAAGTTAATGAGAAGAATCAAATCGGATGAGGATCAGGCAGGACTACAAAGAGACCTGGACAGGCTACAAGCCTGGTCCAGCAACTGGCTCC